TTGCATTGATCAGCTGTTTAGCAAAGCCCCCCCCCCCCCCCCCCCCCCCATTCCCCGGCACCCTTGTAACCCCTTTACCCCACCGCTGCTCTCTTTCTCTCTCTCTATTTGTCTCTCTGTCTGTCTCTGTCTGTCGGTTTCTATCTCTATCTCTCTCTCTTTCTTTCTCTCTCTCTCTCTCTCTCTCTCTGTCTTTCTCCCTGTCTCTGTTTCTCTCTATGACCTTTGTCCGTGGGTCTCTGTCTCTGTCTGTCTTTCTATTTCTCCCTGTCCCTTTTTCTCTCTCTCTTTCCCCTTGCCGCCCGGTGGTTTCACGTCTCACCCCCCCCCCCTTCTAGCTGCCCGTGGTGGCCACCTTGCTGGCGTTTGCCTGCGGCTCCGCCGTCGTGAGCTCCTCGCAATCCTCGACGAGGGTTGACCCGTGGCACTACTCCTACTCCACTGACGTTTGCGTCGAGACGGTGAATCACGGGATGTGGAAGGTGAGTCCTAAGTCAGTCGCGGCCGAGGTTGCCGCAACCCGTAACTAATGTGTAACTGTCGGCACAGGGAAAAAAGCCTCTCAGGCACATGGAATCCCCGGGGTGGTTTTCGTTCGGGTTCCTCAGGAACCACCACGTTCTTCGGAGCGGGAAAGCGTAGGACTACAATACGAGTACCGTAAGAGTGACGGTCTTGGCACGTATCGGTGTCTTGGCACCCCTGAGCGATAAAAACCGACAATGTAAACATTTATAAAGACGACCGCACAGTGTGCCAAGACCCGCATTCTTACGGTACAACAAGTCCCCAAGACATGTATGCCCTACCCAAAACCAAAAACAGGAATACAAAAGTAGAACAACGCCTCCATACACTCTTCTTTGGGGTTCCTCGGGTAGCACCACATCCTTTCGGGGTGAAGCACCGTCGGACACGGACAAGTATTTCCTCTCGTGGGAACTCACGTTAACGTGGCGCGCGCTTGTGTGTGTGTGTGTCGTGACATGTAAGGTGGAGGCAGGGCAGTGCCAAGAGCCCGGGGAGGCGACGGCGTACTGCAACAGCCACCAGTGGAAGTGGGTGGACGTGCCCGACCAGTGCCACGTCCACTACATGCCCCCGTCGGAGGTCGAGGAAGCCCTCAAGGGTAAGTTAAGCTTGTGCTGTTGTTATTTTGTTGTAGACGATTTTTTTTTTAATGTACAAAGAGAGGCTATTCCTGGTGCCTGTAACAGCGGCGTGTGCGTACCCTTTTGGGGTTGTATGCGTCGTTCGGGTGTGGCCAAGAAAGGCGTCGTCCTCGTCAGTTGGACTGATTCGGGTCTTAAAAGGCACCATTGAGCAGAAACAGGAAGTGTTTTTGTTTTTTTATGTGAAGAGACAATCATTAAGTCATACTTGCGCTGCTGCTATTTGTCTTGGGTGCTGTGGCACTGTCGCTGTTGTGGTCAGGAATTTTTGACGCGTTGACTATTTCCCTTCCGCCGCCGCCCCCCCCCCCCCCCCCCGGAAAGGAAAAAGGAACAACCGTTAACGGGCGGGGGGGAAAAAAACCCCCCTCCCCCCAGAACCCCGTGGGAAAATTTTAAAAAAAACCAAAGGAAGGAAAAAAAAAGAAACCCCCCCCCCCCAAAAAACCGCGCCCCCAAAAAAAAAAATGTGGCGCCGCGGGAACCCCCGAAAAAAAATTCCCAAAAGGGCCCTGGCCCGGAGATTGGGGGAGGGGACCCCCAAGGCCCAAAAAAAAACCACAAAAAAAAAAAAGAATTTCCCTGGGAAACCCCCTAAAAAACCCGGCCCCCCCACCCCCTTCCTTTGGGGCCCCAAAGGGGGAAACCCCAAAAACCCGGGAAAAAA